TTTCCTTTCTGTAAAATGAGAATTTGGACCGAGTGTCCCCCTAATCATTCTGAAGTAGTCTGTGCTCAGCTAGCTCCGCCAGCTCACTGAAGGCCCCTCCTTCGGTGTAGGGAGGGTGCAAGGCAGAGAAGGCTGGGGCGGGGGGTGGGGGTGGCTAAGATCATGTCCCAGATGGAGTCAAGTGGTCCCCAGCTGAGCCCCTGGGTTTGGAACCTGGCCTGTGGAGTGAAATGACGTAGTGGGTAGGCTCTGGGCCAAGCAGACCTGAATTCAAATCCCGACTGTCATTTACCAGCGGTATAGCCTTGGATAAGCTACTTAACCTCTCCACCTCAGTTTCCCTCTCTGTCACATAGGTATCACGGTACTCCCCTCACAGGGTTGTTGGGAGGACTAAATGGCATGTAATAAGTTCTGAGTGTTGTGAGCAGCTAATGGATGGTGGCTGGGTAGGGGACAGCTGGAGAACAGGGCTGACTCCTCCACACGTGGAGACTGACTAGCACACGGTCCCTCCCTTGCTCTGGCAGGGTGCGGGGGGAGGTCTTACTAAACGTACAGCAACCACATTTTCCAACCTTAATCTAAAAAAAATGGACCGGCCGTGGGAAAGAATCCTAAAACTCAGAATTGCTCCACAAAGCCCAGGACATGTGGCCACTATACTCCAGCCCTCTTCTCGGAGCCCTGATAACAGGTTGGCTTTTGTCTTCAAGATAAAGGCTGAGGGCCTCCTCCCTTCATTTAGGGAAGGACTTCCCTGGAACCAATAGTCACCGTGGGCCGACAGACCCATTTTATCCCAACCTTGCTTTCTGTGACAGGGCCGTGGTATGGGATGTCCAATTTAGAGGCTGTCTCTGAGCCCTGTTCTCAAGCGAATTCCACTGCCTTCTTTGGATGGCAGTTGTGTAGCTCCGAGGTTAAGTTCGACTCTTAACTGGGAACACAGTGTTCTCTGTCCCTTGGCACTTAGGCGGGCAGGTGGTTTGCTGAGGGTGGTGCTCACCAGAGTGGGGGTGAGTGAAGGAGGGGCATAAGTCTACCCTGGGGCCTGCTGTGGATCTTCCCACATCCCTCTGATCGCTAGAGATACGCGGGACTTCCCTGATAGGTGACTGGGTGTTCTGAAGCGCCAAGCCAGTCCGATGGCCAGTTCAGACACCTCCGGCCAGGGCTTTGGCTTTGAATGTTACCCAGGGGAGCCTCGGTCATTCATTCAGTCACTCATCAACACCGACTCTGTGCCCACCTCTGTGCCTGGTGCCAGACCAACGGAGATGCATCAGGCATGGTCTCTGCCCACAGGGAACTCACAGCCTGGCACCTTGGCACAGGGGAGCGGTCGGTGTTGGGTCAGGAGTCTTCTTGGGGAAGAGTGCTATCTAAGTACTCACATATTTTCCCTCCCCACTCACTCGGAAACCTAGATCAAGACCCGCTTCTGCCTCCTCCTCTACTTTGGCCCAGCTCTGCCAGAGAGCCCTGCATGTCCGGGCCTAGAACTGGTGTCATAGCACGGTTCCAACCTCTCCTTGCTGTCACCTCTGAGAATCCACCCTTGGGAAGTTCCACCCTTGAGAAGCCCCACCCTGAGCGCTTTCTCCATCATCCTGAGGAGGTCCCTGCCAGCGGTCAACACTGACCCTGGTCAACGCTTCATTTTTCCATTCCTTTTCTATTCTCCCCTGTTCTCTTTTCATGCCTGCTCCTCTTCCTCTCCTCTCTTCTCTTTTCCCCTTCCTCACCCTACTGTCCGAACCCGCCCCCATCCAGGCCCTCCCTTAGCTGGATACCCAAGTGTACCATTCATGTGCCCTCCCCCAGCCAGCATTTCCCTAGGCTTCTGGCATGGGGAACTTCGGCCCTTTTTCCTCTCCCTCTGTCTGCCCTTTCTCCACCTCTGGGTTTCCTCCTTCCTGAGCTCTTCCTTCTTGGACCTCTGACCCCAGGCTTCTCCCCACCACCTTTCCTCACTTCCTTCCCGCACTTTCTCCTTGCCTTCGTCCCTCCCTTCCTTCTCCAGCTGAAGCAAGGGTGCCACCCCTCCTCTGGAGAGAGCCTGTGAGAGCTCCCTGTCCCCACCAAGGATGCCACTGCCCTCTCCCCGCCTGCAAGCCCCAACCCCCCACCTCCCAGAACTTTCTCTGTGCTCCTGCACCATTCATGATTACAGCCACCTTTCCTGACTCTTCAGGATCTTCCTTCTCCTCTGGGGCGTTTCCTCAAGCTTCCTGCAGCCTCTCTTGGGGTTGTTTCTCTGCAGCCTTTCATCATACCACCTTGCCTCCCTGATCCTCCAGCACCTTCTTTCTCTTCTTCTCCCACGCCCTTCCTCCTCTTGTTCTTCCCTTTGCCCGCCTCCCACTGCCACCTCTTCCAGTAGCAGGCTTCCCTTTGCCTCTCCTTCCTCCCTCCCCCTTCCATCGCTGCCTCTGTAACCTGTCTTATCACCAGGGCCTGAGTATACAAAAAAATAAATAAATAAAAAGGTCAGTGAGTGGAGGGAGCAGCAATAACCCCTAAAACAGTACTATCAGTGGAACATGATTGATCAATTGAATTCCATAGCGGCTGAAAAATGTGGGATTAAGTAGTGTATTATACGCACAATGAGTTGAGGCATGATGTTCATTTCAAGTTCATTTCGCCGGCCTCTGCCACCAGATCAGGCAATCAATAGGGGCAGCAGATATCATATATCACCTCTCTGCGGGCTGGGGAGAGAGCACCATAATCTCTCGCAAATTTAGAGTGACAGATTTGTCAAGATCTGAAGGGCCCCTGAATAAATGAAGGAAAAGAGACTCCTCCAGCCAGTGACCTGAGGACAAAGCCTCAGTTCAGCCCCTACACACACACACGCGCGCGCACACACACACACACACACACACAAGGTTGAGCCAAGCCACACACAGGCATATACACAAATCCACACAGAGGCGTGATATGAGTCTTCCCACACATATGCACACACTCATGCACATCATGTGTGAGCACATGCTCGCAGACAAATGCACACTTTCCTTCCCAGGACCCATTTGGTGACACCGCAATAACCACACACAAAGACACCCGCTGCCTCCCTCGGCCCTGACAACAGGGCTTCCCAGAAAGGTAGGAGGACTCTAGCAAGAGAGAATTGGACACAATGGAACATGCAAATAGCTACGAGGGGGTGGAATTGGGATGATAGCACCTCCTCAAAAGAAAAACAGGCAGAGAAGAAACATGGGGCACATGAGCTCATGCTCCCCATGCAATCACACACACACACACACACACACACACACACACACATCCTTTGATAACGGTTCTTGCTCTGTCACTTACAAAGACACAGACACATATTTATCTGGATGTTTATACATGTACAAATACATATACACAAGGAATGCCCACACAAAAGGAAAAAATAAACATGCCACACCCTACCTCATATAACAGAGACACACACACTCTCCAAGACAGAACATCATTCCAGAGGCTTACACAGTAAAAAACACAACCACCAAGTTTTGTGTCCATAGGAATGTGAAGACATCGAAATACCGTGAAAGCTGTCCCTGTCTGTCCACCTCAGACTTGGTCCTGGTCTTCATTTCTCTCCCTTTCTTACACACACACACACACACACACACACACACACACACTTTCTTTGCTTTCCCACCTCCTGAGGAATAGAGTGGAGGGCTTGAGTCCCATTTGGAAAAGCAGGCCAGCAACCACTTGTCTGGGAGGCCAGAAGAGAGGATGGCTGCAGGTGGAGGTTAATCAATATGTAATATTTTCTATGGTCTCCTGAATGATACTGTATGGTGTTACTGTATATAATGCAATATTGATTATATCATATCATATAATCACCTATAAACTGATATATATAACAGTCCCAGAGGAACACCCTGAGGCCTACAGCATGGGCTGGCCCCAGGCCCAGGCTCCCAGCAGGTCTTAGGCCAGGGAAATGAAGAGAGTAACCCACTGTGTGCCTAAGGGGGGACCCAGCTTTGGGCTGGGGGGCTGCTGGATAGAGGTTCAGAGAGAGACAGAGAGCAGGCACTTAGCTCACTGCGTGCTCCGAAAACCCTAACAGACTGATGCAAGGAGGTAGGGAGGGGTAGAAAGCCCCACATGAAAAAGCCAGGCAGAGCAGGACATAGACAGGTGGCCTTAGCCCCAGGGGTGAGGAGCATAGTGTGGCACCGCCATGGCCTTTTCTTCACTGAGTGAGTCTCAGCTCTCTGGCTGAGACCCGCGGGAGAACTGGAGGGAGCGAGAGGGATGGCCTCTGATGTGAGCCTACTCCAGGGGGAGGTCGGGTCAGGGACAGAGAAGAGGCTGGTGGCGGCCTGGGCACAGAGCATCCCACAAGACCCTGTCTTTAGTCTCTGCCTTGCCCAAGGCAGTGTTACTGCTCGCGTGCCGGCAGCTGTCCTCCTGCTGTAGTCTGAGTCTGTTACAGCATAAGCAGAATGCCTCGGCTTTCAGAGCCCCTCCTCCCTCGGTGGTGAGAGTTGTTCCCAGTCTCCATGTTACACTCAGCCTCGGAGATTTGATGATTTTTTTTCCACCCCTGGAGTCAGTGGAACTGAAATTCATCTCAGAGCCGAGTTCAATTCTCCACACAGGCTGAAGTGTGCTTGGTCTGAGCACTTAGCTCTCCCTCAGGCTGACCCAGGCCTGGGGACAGAAGGGGCTCAAGGGAGACATCCCCTAAGGAGACGATTCCTAGCAGCCTGGCTCTGCTGGTTTTTCCCTCACTCCCACTGGGACAACTTCCCTTTCTCTCCCCAGGTCCTTCAGAGGCTCTGGCTTCCTCAGCCAGATCTCAGAGGCATGGCCAGCCCCTGGGTCAGCTGCTCCAGCCTAGAAGCTGGGAGTAAGGGGTCCCGGCAGGGGTACAAAGCTCTGGGGGCCGAGCCAAGTGCCGGCCCCCCCGGGCCCACTGTACCTCCGCTGGCCTGTGCTGATGCCCCCAGTGTCCATGTGTCCTGCAGATGTGTCCGAGGGCTCAGTCCCCAATGGAGACTCCCAGAGTGGCGTGGACAGTTTGCGGAAGCACTTGCGAGCTGACACCTTCACCCAGCAGCAGCTGGAAGCTTTGGATCGGGTCTTTGAGCGTCCTTCCTACCCTGACGTCTTCCAGGCATCAGAGCACATCAAATCAGAACAGGTGAGGAAGGCGTTTTCTGCTTGCAGAAGCGCAAAGGAACAGGGCAGGACAAGGCCTCTGGACAGTGTGCGTCGCCAGCATCGCACGTGCTACATGTGTGTGCACCACGTGTGTGCTGTGTGAACACACACGAGGACGTAATGGTGGAGTTAAGAAAAACCATTCTGGTATAGGGCAGTTAGAAATGATGAGCTCTGGGTGCTAGGATGGTCTTGGGTAAGTCTTGCCCCCTTCAGAGCCTCAGTTTCCCCATCTGTAGAATGAAGGACTTGGGTAAGGTCTAATAGGTCCCTTCCAGCCCCGCTGTTCCGTGAGTCTGGCATAGAATACCCAGAAAATGTCCCCATGCCCCTGCCGTGTCCCTCGCCTAAATGGCCCGAAGGTCTTACAGAAAGTTTGTGCAAGCCTGGGGTGCTCTTCTCGCCCAGCGTCACGAGGAGAGCCCTCTGTGCCTGCCTCCTACTCCCCAGTGCAGCTGTCCGGTGTGACCCCAGATAGGCCAACGGCCCTCACACCCGGTACTCCCTCCAGATGCAGAACAGCCCAGCGTGGCTGCAGCCCGCAACACAGCGGCACGATGCACAACGCGGACATACGTCTCTGATTCCTCCCGTGTACCCATGTGCGCGTGTTCACCCACCACCACGGGCCCCTGCTCACTGTACTCAAAGCACGGCACCGAGAGCCGGAAGGGGCGCCTTTCCCAGGCCACAGCTCAGCACACATCCCGCACCTGCCTCCACCCACACATCCCTGTGGGCCCCCGGTGCACGCATGCAAAGATAGGAGCACACACCCATTCCTCCCACACCTACGGCCCAGGCCAGGCCCACAACCGCAGCCCAACACGGTCAGCCGGGCTTGCACGCGCACCCGCGCGGTGGCACAGCAGCGCCGCCCCGCGCGGCACAGTTCCTCCCTCGGACTCCGGCAGCTCCCAGCCACTCGCCTTTCTCTCCGCCCGTCCTTTTATCCCATAAGCTGTTTGTCTTCATAAAACAAAAATCAAAAGTCTTTTTAAGGTGCCCTGAGCCATAAACCAACAAAGGAGGAGCCGGCCGAGGCGGGCGGCTCGGTGCACCCTCCACGAGTCCCCGGCTGTATTACAATGAATAACCTTTATTTACTTTCATTAGACTATTAAACACCAGCACAGTCATTTTTCCCCCTGAAACTCGGAGCAGGGCCCATAAAGCAAATCCGAAGCCTAATTGAGTTCATTTTAATTTCTCTCCGATCACAGCGAATTACTCTGGTGATAAATCAGGGGGCAGCTTCACCCCCAGTAGAAGGCCTAATTTGCAGCTAATTACAAAACTGATTTCTACAGGAAGATCAATACGAGAAGGAATTGGAAATGACGAGGCAATCCCGTCCAGCCAGGGAGGGGAGGGGGCCCTCTGGGGGGGCCAGGAAGCGGAAGGGAAAAAAACGGACCCGAAAGAGCAGAAAATCAGTTTTAATTTAACGTAATATTAATCAGAGCAACTTTTCCTGCTTTGTGCAGGCTCCTGGGCTGCCCAGCTCTGGGGTCTGGCTTAGCGGTGGCTGCAATAAAAAGGCAATTACCCGAGTGTTTCGGGCAGGACACCCTTTCAGAGTCAATGACTGGCCCCCTCCCACCCTTCTGTTAGCCATGTGGACTCTCCCCCTCCCCAATTTCATACCCCAGTGCACAGGCAGAGAGCGAGGGGCCCGTGGGGCTGTCTTTGTTTGTTTTTTAAAAAGGGGGCGCCAGCACCCGAGCAGCTAGCCCAGCGGCACCAGGCCAGAGGCCCCGCTAGGCCCTTCCCCCAGCCCCTGCCTCTGCCATCACTGCACGGTTCGCCCTCCTCCCCAGGACTCCAGGGGGGACCTGAAAGCACCCCTTGCCTCGCAGCAGGGGGAACCCAACTGCTACACTCCACCCTTGGGGCTTCTTAGGCAGGGGACGCTGTGGCAATTGGAAGGATGCTGGGATAACCGCCAACAGCGTATACCTCCAGCTACGCCGAGTCCGGTCTCCCCCCCACCCACACAAAACTCTCCATCATCCGCCGAGCCCGCCCCTCCCTCTCTCCCCTCCCTCTGCCCGGCCATCTCCTTCCACCCCATCTGGGAAGGCTCCCTGTTCCTCCTCCCCATCTGCACACTGAGCCCTTTCTCCGCATGTGTGCATCAATAGAGAGCTGTCGCTTTTCTCTCTTCTCCCAGGGGAACGAGTACTCCCTCCCAGCCCTGACCCCTGGGCTTGATGAAGTCAAGTCGAGTCTATCTGCATCCACCAACCCCGAGCTGGGCAGCAACGTGTCAGGCACGCAGACATACCCCGTGGTGACCGGTAAGGAGGCTTCCGGGAGGGTGGGGGCGCTGCTTGCAGTGGGGGCACCTCAGCCGGTGCCATCTGGGCCCAGCGTGACAAGGGGCCCCCTGGCATGATATCTGCAGAGAGAGCGAGCCTCCGAAAACCAGGGTGCTTCCTGAACAGATGTGTGCAGATGTGGCGAGACAGAGTTGTGGTCAGGGTCTCTGCCTGGAAAGGTCGAAGCGAGGAGGGGGCTACTGCTGGTCCCTTCTGCCCGTCCTCCTGGCTCTCCTTTTGCCTTTTTCTCTGGCCTCCACCGAGGCACCCAGAGTTATTAGCCTCTTGCTAGGACATGTGCAGAAGAACGCGGAGGCCGGGCTGGGGAGAATGGAGCATGAGGCCCAGGGTCCAGCCTCCATACTCCCATGTCTCCAAGTATGCCTTCCTCTACCCCCCGGGAAGCCGGGTTAGCTGTGTGGCTTTGGGCTTCGTGGCATATGGCATCCAGCTCTGTGGTTACAGATAAGCACGGTTCTTCCAGCCCTCCGTCCGCTTCCCGGAGAAATCACAGAGACTGAGGCTTGATTTCAAGGCAGGGTCAGGCCTGTCGCACAGTCAAACGCAGGGGGAGCGGGCATTTGTCCAGCCGCTCTCGTGGGTTAGGAGCGGCAGAGGCAGCTCGCGGGAAGAAGGCCGGAGTGTGGTGCCGCGCAGGGCCAGCCGATGCCGCTCTAGGCCGCCGGGCTGCAGGCTGTGGAAGGCGCCTGGCACTGTGGAAGGCTTTCCGGGCCAGGGAAGTGCCCAAGTGGGAGAAACACACATTGAGGTGTTATTAAAATTCACCTAATTATTCTGGAGACACTAAAGCCAATGTGCCGTTTGTTCCTTGGGAGACAGAATGATTGAGAAGGGTCTCAGTGGGGATTGGGAGACACTGAGGCGTTACCTGCCGAGCGAGGCAGGCGGAGGCGGCCCGGGGACCTGGCAGCCAGCGTCACAGCCAGCGGCAAAGACAGGGAACAGGCCCTGTTCTGACTTGGAGCCCATCTGAGCAGGGCTCAGGCCTGAGATGGGCTGTGAGTGGCCACACGGCCTCCAACTAGAGTCTGGGGAGGGCCCTGCCATGAGCTCTCGCAGCTTCTCCTCCAGAGGTGTCCTGGTACAACTGTTTCTGGCCCGGACAGGGTGGAGCTCTTTGGCTAGGCAATCAGAGACTGTTCTGGAAGTGTCAGAGAACTGGATGGGGCTTTCGGGAGTGACAGGTGGGTGGGTCAGGACACTGCCTGTTATCAACTGGGCCTCAACTCAAGCCCTCCTTAGCCAACGTGGAAGCCCTCTGAGCCACTGGGGGTTCTGACCCAAGGCAGAGCAATGGTGCAGGCCGGGCCACCTTTCCGGTCTGCTGAGAGTTTCAGTGGCCACTTCCCAAAGGTGGTCCACCCCAGGCAGCTGACAAAAGAGAGTCCAAGAGACTCGTCTCTAATCCCAGCTGTGCTTCTCTGTGCCTGGGGCCACAGTCCAGAAGGCAGAGGCTCCCTGGGGTGGAGAGATGGACCTTCGGGTAGGGTTCCTGCTGCAGGAGAACTCAGGCTGGTGCAGAGAAGTGCCTCCACCTTGAGC